TTTCTTCTAAAATATAAAACTACTATTTATGTTAAATAAACTAATATATGCACTAATTATTTAATAGAAAACTCATGAAACACACAAATATGAAAATATTCACACTTGAACTTGCTTACTATAATTTTAAAGACAATATACTAACATCTCTAAGTATTTTATAAATATTTAAAAATAAATATTATTTATTTAAAATAATTGTTAAGATCGAAAATATTAATTTTAGAAGGTTTAAATATATTTTAGTCCCTATAAGATGGGTGATTTTGATTTTGGTCTTTGTAAATTTTTTTCTTTATTTTTCATCCTTCTAAGATTTATAAAGATTGTTTCATACTTGTAAAATGAGTAAAATATTTTTCTTTAATTTTCATCCCTCTAAAATATAAATTCACTAGTTTAATTATTTTAAGGTAGATAAATAATATTTACTTTAAAAAACTAAGAAAATTTTATAGGTGTTAAATATCAATATGATAATATAGTACATAATTGTTATAGGTGACACCTAAGATAATTATTTATCTTTTTTTAAAAAAATAAAAAGTAGTTAAAAATGATTAAATAAAATGAAAATTTTTTTTTACAGAAACTAAAATCAAAACTTATTAATTTTATAAGGATTTAAGACATATTAAGTCATTTTAAAAAGATAAAATTAAAGAAAAATATTTTTTAAAAAATAAAAATAAAAATTATTCATTTTATAATATTAAAAATTATATTTATAAATTTCAAAAAAGCGATCATCAAATTCCCGAAGAGTTCAAACAAGGGACATCAGGAAGTGTGCTATGATCTTTAAATTTTTCGACCGAAACAAAAATCCGTCGAAAATTTTGTGTCGGAAAATTTATATTTTCCGACGGATTCTTATCCGTCGAAAATTTTTCGTCGAAAATTTGCGTTTTTCTTGTAGTGTCAACAAGAGGCACGAAAAGGCCACTGAACTAAAGGATCAAAAGGCCAAATGAAAAAGCAAATGAGCTTCAAGCATTTGCTTTCCCAAAGAGAGGCATCATGATGACATATGTTAAACTTCAAACCTAGGAGGTTCTATCTTCAACTAAACCAAGAATGATGCAAGAGAATGCAAAAGTCCATTTCTTTATTTGTGGGACCTAAACGAAATTAGGTGTCTATATTGATTTACGTAATTAATAGTATAATAGAGTAGTATTAGGTTTTAATCGTGATTTTTATCGATTGGTTTGGAGTTCGTAATATGCAATTTTCGCACATCTTCCAAGCCTCTCAAGAATTAATATTGCACTAGGTATCAAACAAGTCGCGCTAAGTGTCATTTGATGTTGTTTCTACGAGGTTGCATGACCTCAGCCACGCTGGGTGCATGTGAAGGAAAAAGGATTTTGTCCTCTCTGTGTTGGGCATGATAATTTTAGAATTAGGTTTTGGGATCTTCAAATGAATCATAATAAAAAAGGTCTAGAACTTAAGTTATGATCAAATTATTGAGAAAAGGTTAGGCTGTCAAATTTATGCTCAAACACTATGATTTTGTAATTTTTAAAAATATTAGATGACATAATTAATTCTTGAGGTCAACATAAAAGTTGTAATAATTATCTTAATTTTCTAAAAAAAAATAATATCAACTTTATAGCATTTATACATCTCTAAAATTTCCGATCTTGCGACCTATGGTTTGGACATTCTTTTGAAAATCTCATTAATTAAGGAATACCCGGACATCAGACTAATCCTTGATTAATGGTAACGTTCCATTTTGGAAGTGAAACTCTGTATCTATGAACTTAGTTGTAGTTTTGCTTTAAGATGCTTAAGAAATTTGATTCTTTTTGGGTTATAGTGAATAAACTCACCAAGGTGGCTCACCTTACCCTTATTGATATTAGATATTCTTTAGAGAGATTGATAGAGATGTACATCAGTGGGGTAATGAGGTTATATGAATTTTCCTACTAGTAGAGTTTCCGAAAGGGGACTGGAGGCTGTTACAAAATATCTCTTTTACCAACCACTTTTAGGGGCTGAATTAAATCAGCATTGCAATGAATTTTAAAAGATTTTTTTTATTATGGTATTCAATCAAAACATTTTTTAACTATAAAAAAATCATGTGATATTCAATGAAGACAATTAAGTTTTTTAAGAGTATGTAGAAATCTAATGATATTCAATTAAGATAATCAATATTTTTTCAAGAGCCCATCAAAATTTGCGAGTATTTAATTAAGAGGTTTTTTTACAAAAAAAAAGTTTGTTGGTATTAAACAATATAGAAATTTCAATGGATTATTTTAAATAATGAATTTTACGAAACTTTTTAGTATAATTTATATGTAATTTACTCATTAAGCAATTTCACCAAAATCTTTGAGATTTTGCATGATTTTCCCCCTTCTATTTCTACTCTTTCTTTCTTTTTTCTCTTTTTTAAATCTCTCTCTCATATTTCATTTTCTCTCTCTTTCTCTCTTGACATTCTTGCTTTTCTTTCTCTTTTTTTTTTAACTCCCAATCTCATTTTTTACTTTTCTATCTATTCATCTCTTTTCTTTATCTCTTCTTCATTTCATATTCTTTTATCTCTCTTGCTCTCTTGCCTTTCTTGCTTCTCTTTCTCTTTCTCTCTCTTTCTTCTCTATCGCTTTTTTTTAATCTTTTTTTTCATTTCTCATTTATTTCTTGTTCTTCTCCTCCTATCTTTTTCTTTATCAATCAATTGATGTATATTTTATCAATATTTATTTTCTTAATTATTAAATATTTAAAATAATTTTTGTATTATTAAATATTATTTATTATTACATTTTTTAATTATTAAAATTTAACTATTTATTTTTTATAAAATTTAATATTGAAATATAAAACTTTGAAACATATATTAAAAAGACTTTGTAAGTCATCTACTACAAGATGTATTATCTACAAGATATATTAAAAAGACTTTGACAACCGATGTAGATTGTATTTTTTTTATAAAAAAAAAATTTCATTTATTTTTTAGATTTTTTCTGATTACCTGTAATAAACATATATATATATATATATATATATATATAAATCTCAAACACAATTATCAATTCAAAGAATTAAAAAATGAGGGTTCATAAAAGAAGAATAAACCCTATAAACAGCAATAAACTACGAAATAGAAAATAAAGTTGATGACAAATGAAAATTAACAACTAGGAAATAAGAGAACTAAACCATAGGACAAAAGGAAAATGTTACAGCATTGTAATTGCTGCAACATACATCCGTAAGCAGGAAATGAGAAGAATAGCATCCAATCCAATCAAATTCAAAACGAGTTTACTTACAAGTTGAACAGGTTTGTGTTACTACACTCATAAACTAGTGCGTTTTTACGAGTAAACACTCAATTCTGATAACCATGATTAAGACGAAATTTGGCAAAAAATAGCAAAATTTATTATCTATTAATTGATTGTACAAACTACACCAATATTCTAAAACAGTAGCAACATTAAAGATGATTATATAACACATGACCTATGGTTGTTACATCTGCATGTAAATCCTGATTATAGTGTTAGCAATTAACTTCGTAAAAAATTTTACTTGGTTTGACAAGAAGTGATTGCAGTATATTCCTAAGGTTCCAAACACAAACGAATTTGTCTCTGCTTTGGACATTGCAACAGTTAATTTCCAGGAAAGGGAAACTACTATGCACTTATGTTCTGTCCATTATTTTGAGTACACAATGGTATAAAATGCATATTGATATGCATTATGGCAGCAGCTAGGACTCAACTGAGAGCAAAAGCCTATCAATAAAATGCATATTGATATTGACTAGGAGCCAAGCTGGATAAGTTGATCCTGATCTCTAGAAACTAAATGGTGTTGGATCTTTCAAAAAGGCTATTCTTCATTCTTCAAGCACGCATAAATCATAATCACATTTGAAACTACGAGTATTCAAATTCCAATCACATTTGTCACATTGGGAATTGCTGTATGAAATATTCATCCAGAATGTGTTTTAGCTGTGTAACAAAAATTCGTGCTAAGAGAACATATAAAATATCCAAAAACTGACAACAAATAGAATGTCAACCCTTAAACCTCCTAGAAAACAAATATAATTAGCCAGCAATTCTTTTATTTGTCTAACGGCTCAATTGCCCACAGGACACAAATCAAGGTGCTGAAATCAATTAAAGATAAGGAATCATAAAACAAGCAACAATAATAAAATTAAAATTTTCTATCATTTTTTGCAAAATAACAAGCTAGCAACTCACACCAAACATATGAATAGGTCATACATAACGCACCTAATCTTTCAATGGCAATTAAAGCCTCCTCCTGCTTATATCCCATTTTCATCAAAGTCCGTAAGGTATCATCATTCTCAGAATCAGAAATATTCTTTTCAATTTCCTACAAAACAATATCAAATAAAAAGCAAGCTGTATATTATAAAACAAAACCTGCACCTATATTGTTTCTTAGCACAAATATCTGTAAAAGCAAGCGGAAGCATGATGACATTTCATGAGATTCCCAAGGAAGGAACATAAACTATCCTAACTGTCTCATGTTTGAAAGTGATTACACGTCCTATAGCACTAGTAGAAACCACCCTAGTAGATGGCACTAAAGACACAAAATAACTTGATAATACGACGAATTAGATCATACAAACTCCAGAAAACAACCATCAAAGCAAAAGATCAAAGATTACTTCATCAGAAAAAATATCAGTATCTGAGAAATCATCCCAAGAGCTCCCTGCATTCCCTGAAGAAGAAGGATCTGTCACAATTTGCTGCTGTGGCTGGGGAGAACTTTCTAGAGCCTGCAAATATGAAAACAAAAACACCATGATAATTGTAACATTAAAAGTCAAAATCTTATAATATGAAAATGGTATATTAAAGATGTCAGAAAGAAATCTAAAAACTGTTTGTAAAACAAAAGAGCCAAAATGAGAGGTGGAGGGTGAAAAAAAAAAAAACAATTATATGCACAAAAGAACCACAGATCACCCATTGAGGTTGATAAAATATTATTTCAATTGTATTAAGGCACAATTATACTTGGACAATGCTAAATAACAATATTGAAAGATTAAAATAAGAAAGATAGTGAAAGATAGAGCACAACTATCCAGTCAGCCCAAGATAATGGTGTTACCTGTCAAAACAAATGGCGATAAATATAATAATAATTCCGATTGCTTGAGAACAGGATAAACAGGCAGAGTTTCCACCAATAAAATGGGGATCACGGGTTTTAAAAAGTACTTACAGAGAAAAGAACTAACAGTGGGCGAACATACAAGATTAGTATGTGAAGAAGCATAGTTAGGATTATAGAAGCAACAAGCCACAAGTTACTCCAGGGAGGGATGACCCTGTAACATACAAACATGTTTTCAAATCATGAATTAAGAAACTGTAACAGCAACAGTTGCTCTTTCAATTCCCAATTATAATTCAACAATAGGAGACACAATTCCTAATATTTATAGTATACACGCTGCAAATCTTCCTCATGTTAAAAAAACAGACAAGGTACTTATTATGAATTTGATTTTCCAGATTCAATAGCAGCTGATGCTTCTCTAAGGATTTAATTCATTCCTCCATAATTAGAGGGAATATAAGAATACTTTGTTCAAACATTGAAGTTCGTGTACACAAGTCCACAACTAGGGGTGTAAACAGTGACATTTGGTTTCCTTCAAGCTTGAACACAAGTCAAACTGAGTTTACATGGTTCACAATTTTCGACCCTTTTTCCGCATTTTAAAATTAATGACAAGGTTCTCAATTATGAATTTGATTTTCCAGATTCAATAGCAGCTGATGCTTCTCTATGGATTTCAACTCATTGAATATAAGAATACAGTGTTCAAACTTGGTAGTTCATGTAAATATAAATCCACATGTGTAAATGGTGACATTTGGTTTGGTTGAATCTTGTACACAAGTCAAACTAGCCTTAAATGGTTTACAATTTTGAAACGTAATCCCATAAAACATTCCACACAGCCAATAACCCCAGAGACGCAAAAAAACTCAAGCCCCCACACCGCCAGGCCAATGCTTCATACTGGTTTCAAAATCAAAAGGTAAGAAAACAATTGATTTCATGCACTAATGTCATGTCGTAAAACTTCCATACAAAAGAAGAGGAAAAAAAAAGTCACCTTTCCGACGGTGTCAGCAATACGATCTATGCACGGTTCGGGAAATGGAGTGTCGTTGTCCCACACAAGTTCGTCATTCATGGGAAGCTGAAACCCCAAATTCAAAGAGATATTAAATATTAGGGTTCTATAGAAAATCAAAATCGAATGTGATAAGTTTAGAGAAATTTACAGGTTTGTCGGGGACATAGTGTTTGCCGACGGGGAGGCCCATGCCGGAGCAAAGGCGAAGAGAGGAGGCTACAAATCGGGAGTTGCTGATTTTGGGTGAAAAGTGATTTTGAAAGCTGATTTTGGGTGTCCGACGGCGGCGGGGTTCAACCGCCGCTGGTGCTCCGCCACTTTGGTGATAACCAACGTCATTGCGAACCCAATCGCGAGTATAAAGTTTACAATCCCCAAGAGCGTCTTCACTCCCCCCACCATGCGGCCCAAAGGCTCCACCGCCAGCAACATGAACCCCAAAACGACGGCGTTTATCATGAGCCCCAGCGACCCCGCTCTCACGCCCGCAGCGTAGGCATCCTCCCCTGCCTTCCCACCGTAGACCTCACGCCCCATCCAATCGGTGTCGAACAGAAAAGATGAGAAGGCCAAGGCCTTCGGAGGGGGCGCAAATGGCTTGGTCAGTCGATGGTGATCAACGGAGTTAGGGTCTCTATCGTTGCTCGCGGCGGCTGGGAACATTGCTGATGAGTAAAGGGTGTTCCCAAGATTAAGGTCTCAATTCTACATCGGTCATAAGCAAAACCGGTGTTGAACAATTCCCAGATTTTATTGGTGCATCGGTCAAGAATGAAACTGGACCAATGTAAATATGTTTGTATTTTCTATTTATTTATAAGTGTGACACTATGTTTATCATTTATATTGGTTTTACTAGAATCGATGTAAATATAGTGATGTTAAACAGTATTTTTATAGTAGTGCACGGTAATAAGTCTCAAAATGAAATGAAGTTTTCAATTTATGCTATGCATCCTTAAAACATGATTGGAAAAATATTTAGTATTCTAAATAACAATACATAATTTTCTTTGCAAAAAATATCATTTTGGTAAATTTTTAATTGAATTAATAAACAAATCTTTATCTTTAATGCTATCAGATAATAAAGATTATAATTTTGAACATATTATTCACACTCAAGTGTATGAAATACAATATGTCACGAAAAATTAATATAACTTTAGATATACAAAAAAGTGTTATTTACAAGAACATTAAAATTAATTATTTATCAAAAGATAGAAAATTGAGTTAGTTTAACTTTTCTTTTAAATTATTTAGGTTATATTTTTTTTTATTAAATCTTATAGTATTACAAATCCATTTTTTTGTCAAATCCATAAAACCTTTAAAATCTTATAATATAAATCCATTAAAATCTGAATTATAAAGTCTTAATTAAAATTAAAGTTTTAGAAGTCTTTTTAAAAAAATCCTAAGAGTCATAATATTCTTAATTAAAATATTTTAAATTCTATTAAAATTCAACACAATTTTTCATTTTAAAATTATCTTTTGAAATCCTAATCCTTAAAATTTAAAAATTAGTCACAATATATTAATAATACTTATTTTTAAATAAGTATAAATATACGAAATTCTTTAATCTCACTATAATTAAAAATTAATAATAATAGGTTTAAATATGTTTTTAGTCCCTCAAATTTAAGATAAATTTGTTTTTAGTCCTTCAAATTTAAAATTATTATTTTTAGTCCCTGTAATTTTTAAAAATCTTGTTTTAGTCCCTTAGGTCACCAATAACATATTCGAAAGTGACTAATTAAGACAGTTATACAATATCAAACGGATTTAATGTGTTATTTTCATTAATAAGAATACCAATAAATAGATTCTATACAATAATGTTTGATAAATTTTTTAACAAAATTTGAATATAAAAATTAAAATAAAATTTTTTAAAATTATAGAAATTAAAAATAATAATTTTAAATTTGAAAGACTAAAAATAGATTTACTCTAAATTTAAGAGACAAAGACATATTTAAGCAATAATAATATTATAACATCCATGCGTTGCACCAGCACCATTATCATAGCTAGACAAATTGGACGTCTCTCTCTCATCTTTGTCCCTCCCTCTGACTGTTTCATAGTCGTTTTCGAGTTTCAGCTTTCTTCTTCCTCCTCGCCAAAACCAAACCAAATCAAACCAACCTTTGGATTCGCTCGGAGGTTGTCACATTGATTGCGTGAAATCTGCATGTGCGAATGGCAACGGCATCCTCTGAATCCAACGACGCATCAGATCACGTGGTCGAGCTCATTGTGCGCGACGCATCGGCACCTTCTTCCGACGCCGAAGCCGATCCCGCCGACGATGAAAAAGACCAAATTGCCCCTCTTCTCTCCCACCCCGAAAGACCCAAGATCAACATCTTCACCGCTTCTTACCCTCGCAGAAAACCCAGAGTACTTTCCCTTTCTTTCTCTTTCTTTCACATACTTTGTGGTAAATTAGGTGCAACTTTCGTAGCGTTTCTCAATTCGCTAACCCAAACTTTGACCCCAAAACTCTCCTATATTTGGCTGCAGGATGAAGTCACGAGATTACTCGAGTCTGAGATATCTCCTTTGACTCAGTTTATATTGTGGGTTTGGAATGGGTCCAAATACTCTGGTTTACTTTGTGTGGCCCTTTCATCTACCATCTACTTTCTCATGGGAGTTCTTACCAATATATTTTCTGGTAATGTTCTGCATGGTATCTCGTGTTTTTGCTTCACATTATGCATTTGCATAGTTATTGAAACACCCAATGAAAAAATAATCCAGTGGGGTGTAGCTACCAATTTTAGTTTTTTTGGGTGCATGGACAAGTTCCACACTCAATGTCCCAAAGCTGAGAACATGGATTAATCTTTTTGACATTATTTTAACACTTCCCAGGTTCACAGGACAGGCCTTAGTAGCTAGCAATTCTGGTTGTGAATAAACTTTTTAGTTTTATTGTGCTTTTTTTGGGTAGTGAGAGGGAGAAGGTAAACTTGTTAATTTTCCCTTCCATTTTCTTCAATATTCATATATTATTATGTTAAGGTTAAAATACCTTTTTAGTCTTTATAGTTTTACTTACTTCACTTTTTAGTTCCTATAGTATAAAATACACCTTTTTAGTCTCTACAGTTAATTTCTTTATAACGCTGTTTCTGTGATTTATTTATAATGCCGTTTCCGTGAGTGGCATGGGCTTATTTAATTCATGTGGTGGATGTATTTGGTTCTTTTGAACGATAATGTGTCATTTAATGTTTTACTACATAGCCTTCAGCAATTTGATCGCTTATCTAGCTCACATTCAGTCATAGTAAATATTGACTATCCACAAGACAATTCAGACTCTATTTTTTTTTTTTTTTCTAAACCATTAAGTGACACATCACCGTTTACAAAACCAAATACATTACTGCCATGTGAATTAAATAAGCCCACGGCAACTATGGACAATGTGGTCTGCAATGACAATCTGATGCAGTCACAGCTTAGATGTTGCAGTCACATAATGTAATGCAGCCTGCAATTTAGAACCCTGTCAACAACTAATGGATTTATTTGTCAATATTTTATTGAAAGCATCTAATTTTGTCTTGTGCTGAATCTCTCAATCGTGAATTAATCCTTTAATACCGAATACTGCTTGAGTCAAATACATGGATATGATGCTATTAAGTACCAACTCTGACACAGACATGGGACACAGCATAGACACAGACACCTCAACATGATTAATGTCTAAAATGTAGGACACTAGGACAAGTTATACACACACACACCATAGAAAATTACTAAAGTGATCAACATTTGGTAATTAAAAGATATCATTATCATTGAAAGGAAAATTCCACAATGCTAAAACTTTTTTTTCCTGTAATGCCACAATACTAGAATTTTCCTATTTTTCTTTTTTAACGAACAACTTGCTAAGATCTTTGATAAAGAGTCACAAAAAAGATGCTTAAAATAGGAAAATAGGAAATTTATTTATTATGATTCCATTTTTAATTTTGAAATGATAGATAAAAGAAAAAAGGTAATCGTGTCCAGTCATTTAAGGTATGTCCAAGCTGTGTAGAAGCCGGAAAAACAAAAAATAAAAAAAAACAAAAGACACTGCAAAATTGTGTCTGGCACATGTCTGTGGCGTGTCGGCATTGTCGGTGTCGGACACCCTACACCTCTGTTGCTAGTAGTGTCGGTACTTCCTAGATGATGGATTCTTTCAATGAGATGGTCAATCCAACACAAGGACTCTCTTGCTGTCTTTCTCAGCAATATAGTTTTTGCATCTTAAGAATTTTGACTAACTATCTGTGTTAGTTTTACCTTCTAGTTCTGTCAATTTCTATTATATATATTATTTGGCTATTCAGTTAAATTTAAGATATTTTTTCAAGATCTACAGTTCTCTTTTCTTCTTCTTTTCATCTTTTTTCGTTGTTCCTCACTTTAATTTTTGCAATAACATTTTTGATTTGGCAGTTCAGGCAATTCCTTTGTTTGAGACTGCTTTTACAAGATGTACAATTATCTTGATACTGTCATATTTGTGGTTGAGAAGGAGTGAACAGCCACCATTTGGAACACCTCATGTTAGAATCATTTTACTTTTAAGAGCCCTTACAGGCTGTATATCAATGTCAAGTTTTGTATATTGGTAAGTGGTCATAGTTTTTTCCCTCTTGATTGTCATTCTTTTCAGCACCTCATTAGCCATTTTGGGATGGTTTTTTCTCTGTTGGAATTTTCCTCTTCATTATTATCTTTCTATGTTCATAAAATGTCATAATCTGAGAATATTTTATAGTACTTTTAGAATATTATCCGATGTTGGATAATATCATTTTCTTCAATGTTGATCGTTATTCATATAAGGTCTATTTTATAAAGCTTTTGGGTTTGAACAATTATTGCACTGATTGCTAGAATTATTCAATATAGGTATTAGCAAAAGGATTGGCATTAACATTTTCAAATCATGTAAGTTGTAACTAGTAAGTATGTAAAGACAAATTAATTTAATAATTCATTTTCTTTTTTCTCCTACGGTATGGAACTCCATGTTGACCACAAGAGTTCTTTTGCATACAATATTCTTTCTTCATATTGAGTTCAGTTACAACCTTGGTTCATAAGTTTGACTTCACAAATAATCTGTGTTAATATATTGAGTTTAGTGCAACTCTCTTTATCCTTTCCAACCTTTTATTTTTATTGTGCTCTTTATTATTTGAGTTTTTTTTTTTTTGCTACTTGAGGGATTTCATGAGTTGCCAACTATGGAAATAAAAGAATCTGTTTATTTTTTCAGCTTTAAGAAGTTGCCTTTCTCTCAGGCCATTGTATTGAATTCAACAATTCCAATTATGGCTTCAATTATGGCCAGGATCTTTTTGCACGAGAAATTGAAAGTGGCTGATATTGCAAGTAAGATTTCATAGTTCTGCTCTTAAATTTCCTTCTATTTTAAAATTATGATGGAATGAGCAGAAGCTTTAAACCCTGATTTTTTTTACTGAATTCTTGTTCAATAGTATATTATGATTTATGCTTTCTTGCCTAAATTCTTGCCAAGTTATGTCCTGTCTAAGAAGCAGTTTGTGAGCTGTTAACTGTTTTCTGTTTATACAATTCAGATATTTTTGTATACATAATTATGTAGAACAGGATGGCAAACTTGAAACACAATTTTTTTTGGACTGTTCCAATGACAACTAAACCTTGGGTTGGAGGGAGGTGTACTAAACTTTATAAAATAGGGATCCTAATTAAACCTCATTCTACTTGGACAAGAAATCCAGACTTCAAAATTCAAGCAATACCATCCTATATTGAGGTATAGAATCCTGATAAGCTGATTCTTAATAAGAAATTTTAAGGTCTAAATAAAGAAACAACTAAACCAAAAAATGTTAATAATTATATCATAATTCTGAAGTTAAAAACTATAAATCTCATATTACATGTACAAGAAGAAAAAAGTTAATAATTATAAAATTAAGCATTCATTCATTATCAATTGCAAGTAGCCAAGTACTGATTAATTTATTTAGCTGCCTATTGTTCAGTTCTTGCTTGCAGTTTCTTCGGTGTGCTGTTCTTCTTCCGAGAAATGCTTGCTACAGAAGGTATAGTAGTTTCCATTTATTATTCCTTTTAATGCATTTTCGTTTGTATAATTTTACTGGTGTGTTTGTTCCTTTTAACCAACTATAATAGGCTTACACGTGATTTAGAATTAAGTACATCGAGTTTTAACTTAAGTTCGAATTAATTGGTCGACTTTTCTTGATTTTTTATTCTGCATGCCCCACTTAAATAGAAAACAAAAAAAGACCAAATGGCCTTTGACCTTTTTGTTACAGGAGGTCTGAGGAAATATTTTTGCTCATTTCTAATTGATTGCAGGAAGTATCACCTGCGTCATCTAGATTCATCGAGAATATTAGGTATACCTTGACTACTCTTCCTAATTTCAGAATTTGGATTTTCCAGGACAGTTGGTCAAAGCTAAGCAAGCAAGCAATGCGTATGCTAAGAAAGGTCATCACATATTTGCAATCCTATCAGGCCTCTTTTCATCAATAATGTGTGGTACTAGTTACTGTCTTATAAGGGCTGGAGCTAAGGCGTCCAATCAGCCACTGTAAGATTATATATATACATTTTTTTTTCTTTTGGATTTTCTCATAGATCAAATCCATAAATGTTATGTTTCCGGATGTTTACACCTTAGTTTTTTTTTTCTTTCAGATCTGTATATTTTATACTTATTGCTAGAATATAAGATGGAATATACAAGCCTATCTAGTATTTCCAATCTATTTTAAGAAGCCATTCCCTTTGCAATCATTTTATCTACAGTATGGTACTTATATCAAGGTATAGCATAATAGAAATTGAGTGGTTGTAAGTTATAGTAGTGTAGAATGCTAGTTGTTGTAAAATGATTACTATGACTTAATAGATCAAAATACTCATAGAAGTCAGAGCAAGGCAAATGTGATATAGTAGCTAAATCCACATGTATTTTTGACGTAGTGTATTTTAGGGACTCAATGTATCTCTTAGTTGTATGAATTTCCATTTTATTGCAGGTTGACTGTCTTTTCATTTGGCTTATTGGCTAGCCCTGCAATGGGATTATGTACTTATATCTTTGAGGTAAGTTCATACTTCGATGAAATGAAACTACTTTTATAATCAATTGTCAGGGTATACTTTCTTCAAGAAATTGATATTTTATGCCTGTGGCTGTCAATATATGAAATGCATAAGCTTTTAAATTTTTTTGATAAGCTTCTTGTGCATCCATTAATATTAGTGTCTGTCTGAAAATCTTTCAAGAAGATTATTCTATATAACCTTAATAATTAATTATTTGAGGTTATTGATATTTGATAGGTACCAGACTAATATTGAAATAGAAAGATAGAAAAATGGAGATCACTCCTTACAATCTGAGGCTAATATCTCAGAATAAGTTGTCAATAGATAGCTAAAATAGAAAATAGAAGTGTTAGATATAGTTTTATCTTATGGGCCTAAGCCCACTACTTTGTATATAAACCTATATTTTGCTTTGCAATACACAAGGAATATGTTCTCTCCATTCACCATTACTCTCAACATGGTATCTAGAGCCTATCCTTGACTTTCCGGTGGACCCACTGTTCATCGGTGCCCGGAAAACGTGTCTCGTTCCGTTTTTCGGCTACCCACCTTGTCGTGTCTCTTTCTGGCAATTTTTTTCCCTCCTTTTTAGGGTTTTTCTTTGCTGCCGCCGCCGCCAGCTTTCCGGCCGGCGACCCCCCCACCCAGTTTGCCTCCCTCCGGCGAACCCAACGCCACCGGTCGCGCGCCAAACGGAGGTGGCATGCGCCCCCACGCGCCGATTCCGTGCTGGGCGCGGTTTCTCTCTCCTCTCCGTCGGCCGCCGCGCGTGGCAGCGCGTCCGGCGACTTTTCCGGCGGTGATCACCGGCGCCGGACTCGCCCCGACATCCTCTACCCCGATCTATTATTTGTTTTGTGATCGGACCTCGTTAGGCACGGATCTCTTCCTTCTCGGGCCATTTTTCTCTCTCCTATCTATCATAATTAAAATAATAAATAATTTCATAATTTTTCTTTAATGAATGTTTTTACCAGAGATTGGTCAAGGGGGACGATCTGCTGGAGAAGATTGATGAGCCTCCTTCGCTGGGTACGTTGGCTATTTCGAAGTGGGGGTGGTA